AATGACAATTAGTGCTCAATCCTTAGCTTTTATTTAAAATCAATATAATAATGATACATGAAGCACAATTTTACATCTTCTGCCAAACCACTATTGAAATGGTTGATTCTTAATATTTTTTTTGTATTTTAGTACTGGGTCTATAGCATCTCACTACATAGATCGGACTTGTAGTGATGCTCCTGTTTTCAGCCTCCCAAGAGCTGGGATGATAGGCATGCACCACCACGCCCAATCTCAATCGCGGCCTCAGTGCGCCCCGGGGGCGGGGCAGCATGGCACGCTGGGGATCCCACCCTGGCCGCTGTGTCTGCCTAAGCAGGCGCTGTAATCTGCTGAGCTGTTTGGCTGGCCCTCTTAGATCTTTATACTAGCAGGATGTTCTGTGTTTCTTTCACCTTATTAGAACTATGTATGCCATTCTGATTTTTTATGTTTCTGTTTTATGATTTGTTTTACATTGACTTCCAGGAAGGTCAGAAATTTATTTACTATTTATATACAGTGACTGTTTTACTTCAGCTCCTGTAGAATTCTGTCTCTTTTCCTTCGTCTGATGACTCTGACTTTATTTTGATTACCCTACATGTGCTTTATTATATACCGTCATATTTATTTAAGAAATAGGATAGGGTAAAATGAGTGGCCCATCGAGTCACAAATCATAAGCACCCTGAGCAGTGCCTGGCACTTGGAAGATGCCCGGTAAATGTTTACTGAACGACTGAATGGAAAGGTCTGGCAAACAAACCTATTTCAGTTTCATGTAGCTGGAAGTAAATGGACACGAGGGGGCGCTGAGCTCCTATTTCTCCTTGATTAGACATTGCCCGCTGGAGCCAGCCCCCAGGATTGAGTGATGAGTTATGTAGTAGTGTTTTCTGATAATTGGATCCTGCGTTTCCGAAATGTGTGAGACCTGGACACCTGAGGGGTGTGCAGTTGAAGATTCCCAGGTTATTCCTGTGGAAACACCAGGCACTGTTGTTACTAGCCGAGGACTGCGCTGAATGTGGTCTTGCTTTTGTGAAGAGCCCAAGGCCACAGCCAGAGGACAGCACCAACCGCCACTTGCAAAGAAAGCACAGGGTCCGCATCTGGTGTTTTGAGCCAAGTGAAAAAAAAATCATTAAAATTCTTAAGACTCAGACAAACCAGATAGTTCTTAAGCCAACAGTATGTTCAGTAGAGTAGAAAGAAGAAGACAGCAAGAAGAGCTGGGCAGGGTGGCAACATGTCTATAATCCCAGTATTCTGATTGGACTGAGGCCAGGGTTGTGCAACCATGAAACCTCTGTGATTTGTGCACTCATGCAACCTCTGTGATTGGGGAGAGCCATATATTTTTTAATTCATTTTTTCATTAACTTTATTGAAAATCAATAATTCCATATGTTAAAAATTGTAGACAAATACTGAAATGTAAAAGATATAAGATATAGACAGAGTGATTTTCAGAGTAATATTTCTGAAATGAATACATTGCATGAGATTAATAGATTGCACATTGTAAATAAATTATTTACAAACTTAATGAATATAACAATAAAAATTGTCCAAAATGAAAATGAAGAAGAATTTACAGTTAAGTCATATAGTTCACTCTGTGTCAAATATCAAGAAACTTATATTCATATAATTAGATTTCTCAAAGTTGAAAGAGGTAGGCAATAAATATTTAAAGATTTAAAATTTCTGAATTTAGTTGAACTTATGACACCACATTTCCAAGAAAAATGAAGCTTTCGCACAAGAAATTTGAATAAAATCATACCCAGATACACAAAAATGAAACTGTCCAAAACTTATTGTAAAGAAAAAAATCTTTAAAGCATATACATTAAAAAATTACCTATGGAAGAACAAAATTAAATAGCATCTTATTCCACATGAGAAAGAAAAAAAAGGACCAAGTGTGTAAGAAAATATATTAATTAAAGGACTGAAAGAAAGGAAAAAACAGATCTGCCCTCTTTGAATTTTATACTTAGCAAACATACCTTTGAAAACTAAAATATTTTCCAGTTATACAAACTCAAAATATTCTAATACCTCCAGACAAAACATACAGGAAATAACAAAGAGCATAATTCAGAATGCAAGAGAAATTGCTCTATGCTCCTGGATGAAGAATAAAGAGCTCTCAAAATGATAGATATGCAGGACTATGTAAAATATATTAGATGAACCCACTTAAAAGGTCATTAAAGATTTCTGTGAAACAGTATCAATCTTATGTTGGGTTATACACATTTTTTTTCGTGTGTGTGTGTATAAAAGATAGGGAAAAAGTAATATAAAGTCAATGGAAAATGGAAATATACTTTTTAAAGTTTCTAATACTAGGAGAAAATATCATACCATGTCTTTTAAATAGATTGTAAGCCAAATATACAGTATAAATCTTAAAACAAAATTAAGATTAAGCAGTATTCAGAAAATTAAATACTAATTAAAAATTAAATGTTTTGGGGCTGGGGTGATGACTCAGTGGAATAAGTGCTTCTCTGGCAAGCGCAAGGGCCTAAGTTCAATCCCCGGTTCCACAAAAATAAATAAATAAATAAATAAAATAAAATAAATAAATGTTTCAAAACAATTGAACTAAGAAAGTTTTGATGATAGTAAAGAATTACTAAGAATAAAACATAAGATAAATACTAGAATGACAAATAAATGACTAGCACTTCTAACAGTTTGGGGATAGGATGTCGCACAGAGCTCTGGAGTGTCATGAACATGGATAATGTCCATGACACTTACTGGTGTCCAGGTGTCACTTGTGGGAGTGAGCCATATATTTTAACTTGATCTCACAGTAAAGAAACTGACAGACATAGACTCCCTGAAGCTGGTAGTCATTAGCCTATGGCCCAAGAATTTGGATGAGGGAAAGTGATATTATTTTCATTCATCTTTAACTAGAATTTAGCATTTCTTTAAATTATGGCTATAGGCAACATACCATGGTAAACTCAACAGGACCTGTAACTTGGTCCCCAGTGGAGATCACAGACATTTTCATGCCACATTATATGTTGTAGATACAATATCTCAAAATATTTCTACACCCATCACCACTTTCAAATTATGGTTAGATCTATGGCCATACCACCCTAAGTGTGCCCAAGCTCATCGAAAATTATGGTTGGGAAATATTAGATCACTGCTAGACCTTACTACTCCATGCATGAACAATCATATATTACTACTATGTTACAATTAGAAATATATCAGTACCATCAATATCCTTTGTAACCCAATGTACTTCATTTTGTACATTTAAACATATAGAGGGCTGGGGAGATGGCTCAGTAGAATAAGCCCTTGCCTGGCAAATGCAAAGGCCTGAGTTCAATCCCCAGTTTCACCAAAAACAAAAAACAAAAAAACCCCATAGATTTCACTAACCTAACATAGATGAGGCAAAAAACGATTAAGAACATTTGGTTGAAGAGCGTGATACTTTATAGCTCTATTAATCTCTCGTTCATGGATTTTTTATGGATCATAGTATAACATGGACTCTATTGAAGCCTAGCAAAGGAGTTTAGCTTCTAGAACATCAGAAGAACATCTTATTGCTGTGGAATTTGCACAGGTTTGCTAGCAAAAATAACACTGTAAAAAAAAAATGGCACTATAGGAAGGCTACTCGCTTGATTGTCCACATGCTCTCTGCAGAAGGACGTAAGCAGAAGCTTTCAGCTAGCATGAGCAGGAACTAGGGCTGATGCTTAATGTGGCCCATGAAAACTATTAAAGGCCATGAATAATTGATAGATTGAGACTTTATACTTTTTAAATTAATTGCAGTTTTTTGGTGTGTGGTACTGGGGATTGAACACAAGCTGTTCACACTGATTGGTATCTCTGGCACACGTGCACCCTTTTTAAATATTTGAAGTGGGTCTCACTAAGTTGTCCAGGCTGCCCTTGAACTCCTGAGTCTCCTGCCTCATCCTCCCAGAGTGCTGGGATTATAGGCATGTGCTACCACACCTGCCTTGATTTTTTTTTTTTTTTAGTTTTGGCATTACTTGTAAAAATAATAGCTAGTAGTTGGGAGGATCATTTCTGTAACATCTTTTCAATCACAATGATGTGCAGTCATTCATGTCCACACCATGACGTTTTGGCCTGCAATAGGCTGACTGCACGAGCATACAGCTTAATGATCCCATAAGATTAAACGGACTGAAAAATTTTTAGCACATCACTCTTGTGTTTGTGGCAATGCTAGTAATGCATAGTTCACAATAAACAACTGTTACTGATTTGTGCACTTACTCCATTACACCTTTAATCATTATTTTAGAGTGTTTTACTTATTTTTGAGACGCTTGCTGTATACCTGTTGTGTTACTCTGGCAGCAGCCTCATCCTTGTCTTTTTCAGTGTGGGTGTGGGTCGGTGTGCTCAGACTGAAGCCAGGGCCTTCTCTCTAAGCTATCCCTTTTTAAAAATTTTTTTAAGACAGGGTCTCAAAGAAAAAAAAAAGACAGGGTCTCACTGAGTTGCCCAGCCTGGGTCTGAACTTGTGATCTTCTGGCTTTAGTGGACTAGAATGCTGCACCTTTAGATGGAACCATTGTTCTCTGGTGGACAATCAGAACTTTTGTTGTGCTCACCACTGCCCTAGAAGGCCTAATAGGCTAAGCCACACACATACTGTCTAGGCCACGTAGGTTTGTGGCATTAGGTTGATGAACTCGGGCTCACAATGCTTTTCTTAGAACTTATCCCATCACTAAGTATGTTAAACATAGCCCTTCATACCCTGGTCATCTGCAGATACAGAGTTCACGTTAGGAAAAATCCAAGTGTGGAAATTTTGAATGTAATACATCTTGTTTTATTAAATTTAAAATCTTACATTGTTACCATAGCAGGAAATGCAGATTTGTTGATGTAGAAACTTTTGTCTTTTTTTTTTTTTTGTAATGCTACAATGATATTCAAGCCAGAAAAGACAACATGTTTTCTTATTTTTTCTACAGGTATCTAACCAACTGGCCTTTTAAATGTCATTTCTGCTGACCTGGAAACACTTCAGAGGAAGATTAATTTCTATAAGTCATTTATCCCCTTCTATTGCTATTTGTAAACTTCTTCAGATTGGGATTATTCTGCCTTGCAGAAATTATCTGCTTGGAGCCATGCATAATTTATAACAATCTCTGGCAAAACCTCAGAAAAAAGATATGCTCTGGTCTCAGGCGGATGTCAGAGGCTGTGGCAAAACCCAATGAAAACACTCCCCGGTGCCAGTGGCTGCAACAGAGGGACAGGCTCTGGGAGCTGTCTCCTCCGAGGATTATGACCCAGTTAGAAAAGAAAGAAAGAGCTCCAAGCAGAGCACAGGTGACAGTGAAATAAGAGGGGCTCTCGCAAGACTGCAAGGGCGCAGCTGGACTTGTGCTCACCCGTGGCTGGGCGGTGAAAAATCTTTCAACTTGACTCCAAGGGAAAGGACATGAAATGGCCCACGAAGTGCATCTGGATTCCCTCAAGGTGGTAGAGCAGGATGTCATCCTACAGGTCCTCTACCGCGATCAGGCTGTACAGCGCATAGAGGAGGAAAGGATTCGGTAAGCTGCCCTGCTGATGCATGCAGGGCTTTGGGGACTCGGGGTTCCTGGTGCTTGCCTCCTGTTGCTGGTCACCCATTGCTGGGCTTCTGACTGAAAAGGCTCTTGTTAGTGGAAGTAGCTCTGCTATTGACCTGACCCTGAAATGTGGTAAGGAAAAATTGGTTGCTTTTACTTCCAATTTCAAATGGTGCCTTTTGCTATGTCTGCTGCCCACCTTCTCTTCCATTTGCCTACTTTGTGCAAGTAATTCAAGCAACACCTTCAGGCTTCGAGTTCCTCCCCCATAGGTTTACAGTTTTCCTGCTGTGTCGGAGGCTGACACCATTATTTTTGGTGGCAGCTGAAGACAAAGAAAGTGGCTTAGCAACTCAGATCTGATGGAGTCCGTGGTTGCCTTTCTACTTCGCTTGTTTTTGCTTCCTAGTTGGCTTTGAAGAAAGAGGGAGCATAGAGCACAAACCTGCTTAGCCTGTTCTCTGACTGCTTGGTCAATAGGGAGTTCTTTTCCTGTCTGTCTGGAAATTGGACAAGCAGCACAACACAAATTAACACTGAAGGCTATGCCGTCCATTGTGAGCTGTCAAGATCCATCTTTGAGCCCAGTCGTACTTATTGGTTATTCACAATGTTTACAGAGGGCATGAGATGTCGAAAATAAGTAAATGGGCTGGGAGGTAACTCAGCAGTAACATCTGTGATTAGCATGTGCAAGACCCCCATTCAATCCCGAGCACCTCCTCTCCCAAGACAATGGGATTTGTTGTTTGGTTTTGTTTCTAAGGCAGAACTCTTATAAAATCTGCCAAGAAAAATACGCAATCTAAAACTTGGTACAAACCAGGTACAGTGGCATAGGCCTGTAATTCCAGCACTTAGGAGGCTGAGGCAGGGGAATTGCTATGAACTCAAAGCCAACTTGGTTATAGAGTGAGACAAGGAGTCACTCAAAATAAAATAAAACTTTGTACAACCAAGTACTTGGGGAACAAGGGAACTTTTCTGATTGACAGGAAGATACAATACTCTCTCTATCCTCCCTTGTTATTTCAGAGCTCTCAGTGTGTGCTAGTAAACTTTTGCCCTTTCGAAATTATAACACATTGACAAATATGCAGTGTTCCCCAGTGATCCTAGATCTGCCTGTGATTTGAAGACACCATTTGAATATGATCAACATAACGTGGGCACTGCAGTAAGGGAGGCTTGTTTCAAAGGGTACTGTTTCCAGGGCAAATTAAAAAAGTATTGAATTGTCAAGTACCTTTCTGACGTAATATTTTTCCTTGGCATTAGCTTATCTCTTCTGAAAGCAGGAAATGGAGACATTTCCTGTGAGAGTGCCGTGGACAACGATGCCTTTGAGGGTCTGGTACACCTTCCCTTTGCACTACAGCCTCACCTAGAGGAATTAGGGGCTAGAATGGCACTGACCACCCACTAAAAGAAAAAAATAGTCGCAAAAACAAAGCATCAGTGTCTTAGTTACTCTTCTCTTGTTGCTGGGACAAATACCTGACACTCAAAATGAAGGAAGGAAAGGTTATTTAGCTCAGTTACTGGAGGTTTCAGTCCTTACTCAGCTGGCTTCAAGGCAGAGCAGCACAGAGCAGAAAGCAGCTTTTCAGGGAGGCGGCAAAGAGCAAGAGCACAAGGGAGGGGTAGCAGCAGCTAAAGCAGCTAGCTTCTCTTCCCACCTTACATTGTAATGCAGATTACCTGCCCCAGGGCAGGTGCAGCATCCACACCCACAGTAATCAATCACAAACTCCACAACCCACCCCAAGACTGCATGAGGCTTTGGGGGGACACCTAGACACAAACCATAACAATCAGTTAAATAATTTTATTGGGTAATTTACCACAACAGCAGGAAATGTTCCATATTGTGTGTTTCTAGATCTTTCCATGCCTGTGTACTAAAAAGGATGCTTTGGGGGCCAGGGAAGTGGCTCAGTAGAATAAGCGCTTGCCTGGCAAGCACAAGGGCCTGAGTTCAACCCCTGGTTCCGCAAAAAAAAAAAAAAAAAAGTCTTATGTCGCTCAGGCTGGCCTCGAACTCATGGTCATCCTGTTGGCTCAGCCTCTGGAAAGCTGAGGACAGATGTGAGAAAAAGGATGCCTTTCAGAAAGTGTGTATGTGTAAGGAGTACTGGCAGTTGAACCCAGGCCCTTCACACTGGGCTACATTGTTAAGACAAGGGCTCCCTAAATTGCCCAGCCTGGGGCTGCACTTGCAGTCCTCCTGCCTGGGCCGCCAGGACCCCTGCAGTGTGTTGCCGCGGCCAGCTGGATGCTGTTTTCTGTGTCCTCCCTCTTCCTTCTCTGATCCTGAGCACAGAAGGACCTGCGCTGGCACAGTGCTTGCGCTCTGCTGTGTGATGATGCTCTCGGGCACCTGCGCGGTGAGCTGCTCTGCTTCACAAGTGAGAGGCCCCCGAGCCCTGCCTCACACAGCCCCATGCTGGAACCCAGGGACCTGGGCTCCAGGACCCGCTTGCCTTGCCACTCGCGGCTCTGTTGAGGCTCTCTCTCCCTCCCTACTGTTCCATCCAGTCCTGTCTTCTTTGATTCCTTGGACTGCAGGAGACTGAAGACGCAGCTGCAGCACCTCCGGTGGCGAGGGGTGAAGGGCCCCAGCACAGAGTACAAGGACAAGTGCTGCGCCCGCTGCCAGCGCGTCCTGGGGCTGCTACTGAACCGGGGCGCCGTGTGTCGCGGCTGCAGCCACCGCGTGTGCTCTGAGTGTCGCGTGCGCCTGCGCGGGACCCGGGTCTGGAGGTGCACCGTGTGCTTCGAGGACAGGTGAGTGATGCTGGGCTTGGGTTCCTCCACTGCGCCAGGTGGCCGAGAGGGTCCCTAAGAGACCCTTGAGAGAGAGCACTGGCTCCTCACTCCAGCCTGGCGAAGCCTCCGGGGCGCCTACGACAGTGTTCCCTCTAATTCAAAACTGATTTTATTATATAGAAAGCGATTTAGCCTAGGCAGGTTTGTGATGCCTCATGATGAACTAGCCCAGAAGGTGAGGATTTGAATTTACTGACTTGTGCCTTAGTCTCCTGAAAGCTTATCTTCTGTCCTTCATAAAAAGTGAGATTCTGATGACACGGGAAGCAGAGGGAGCCTGTGCAGCTTCCAGTGAAGGCTTTTCTGTTTTGTGTCAGTCCTGGGGTTTGACCCCAGGGCTTCACACTGAGCTATATCTCAACCCTCTCCTTTTACTACCTCATGCTGAGACAGGACTTTCCTAAGCTAGTAGCCCCCCTTTCTGTAGCTGCCGGCCACATGGCACTCGCTTGTGCCAGCTATCCTGTTTCCCCAGTTTTCTGGAACTGATGTCTTTCAGGTGTTTCTTAGTTTAAGCATAAAAACCAAAGCAGGCCTGCGAGCTGCCCTAGCCACACAGGTGTCTCGGCTAGCCTGGGCTCTTGGCAGAGCAGATGAGGACTCCAGGGTGCTTCTAGAAAGACCTGAAGCCTTTTTCCCTTCCAATCAGCCACCTACATTCGAAGCCTGCTGACCTCACCTGGTATGGTGTTAAATTCTGCAGCAGTTTGTCTTCTAATAGTTAAACTGTAAACTAAAAATCAAAACAGGAGGACAGGGGTTGGGCAATCTCCCAAGAAGCTGTGTTGAAATCTCCACTCCTAGGGCATTGCACCCGGGCACTGTAACTTGACCCACAAAGTACATAAAGTGTTATTTCTAGATCCCCAGCTTCCTTATTCTGAAATAAGGATGTTTTTCAAAATACCTAAGGTAATTGCATTAACCTGACTGAATTAACACAGGAAGTTGTGTAGGGAGAAAGCTGAGAATAATACATACTTTCTCTCCCTTCACCCTTACTCTTTCTTCACAGCCCTTGTCCTCTGGGGACCACCATCCTACTTCAGGGCCCACATAAAAAGGCCTTGTAAAAATCTAAATATTCCTCACTGTCTCACAAAAGGCCTGGGGAAAGGGTTCTCCTCCTGGTTCTCCTTCACTTTGAGACACCTTCCTCAGGAAGTAGTAGTCATGGCAACAAGGAAATGGACTCATAAAACTGAGACAAACAGATCTGTAGGGTTCAGATTAAAAATACCAACAGGTCCACTTGTAGACTGCTGCTGAGCAAAGGTCCTGTTGAATATGGCTGCTTGGACTGTGTGGAAACCCAGAAAAGGTTCACCAGAAGGCTTCTGCCTTTAGGGAAAGATTTCCCCTAGAGGACTGCTGAAGCTGTGAGAGGCCCAGGGGCTCAGGGGAGGGAGAGGAGGAGAGGCCTTGACTCAAGGTGACAGCCAGCCCTTCAGTGGTTGGAATTTTTAAAATTTTAAATCTTCAAGCATTAGTAAGGGGTAGCAGGGTAGCGACTGCTGCCATTCTCATTTTACAGACAGGAAGTGGTGGCTGAGAGGCACAAGGGGAAGGAGAGCCCAGCCTTAGTCCAGGCCCCTCTTAAGTCCCACCCTGTCCTGCCTGCAGGGGGGATTTTTCACTCAGAAGCAGCTTTGTCCCCGGAAGTGGAAACAGAGGGCAAACACATGCACTTTGCTCCATGAAAGCCATCCCAGAAGTGTGTTGTCATCTTGCTGGTGGTCTTGGGAGGCCCAAGAGGAAGGTGAACCGGCAAGGAAAACCTGTGTGCAGTGATGGGGGTGCTAGGTGAGGAGGCGGGGGCAGGCATAATGGGAATTGGGGAGGGCCCCAAAAGGCAGGTGGAACTTAGCTCTGGGCACCAGAGGGGGCAGGGAGAGTGAAAAACTATCAGATTGGCCAAGCAGATGGCTTTTCAGGTGGAAATGGGTGGTAGGGCATCAGAATACCAAAGGATAGAGAGAAGCCATAGAAACTCAGTAAACAAAAACCAGGCAGACAAGACTTGAAGGAGGAAAGGTGGTTGAGAGTTGCTTTCTGCAGTGAAGAGACAGCTGTGGTCTTTATCAGGGGCCAACCAAAAAGCAATTTCTACAAGAAGTGGGAGCATTGCTGTAACTTGTCTGTGCTTTTGGATTGATGCCCCCCTTGAAATTGCTGACAGTTTCTGATGGTGGGTAACAGCTATGCTCAAGTGTTAAGGAGGTTAAACTTTCTACTGTTTGTTGTAGCCTCATTTAAGAAAGTTGAGCTTGATAGCTTAGGTTTGTGTTGATTCATTTTCCCTTTAACATGAAACTCCACAAGAAACCTAATGATATCTTTAAAGTCAACTGTTGAGTTACTCTTGTCTGAGACTGGCTTCCTTTGACTTTAGATTTTTTTTCCCTCATACTTTGCAATTGATTATGACCATGACCAGTCATTTACCCTTGGGTACTTTCCCTCTGTTTCATTAGGAATTGTTGTTGTTGTTAGTGGGTTTTGTTGTTTGTATTTGGAACCCAGGGCCTCACATATGCTAGGCCGGTGTTCTTCCAGTGAGCTGAACTTCCAGCCTCAGAGTTTTTGTTTTTTTCACTAAAGACACTGTTGGTAGGGAAGGATGGTTTGGACTGAATAGGTTCAAAACCTATTGCTTGAGGAATGCTGCAGGTTGGCAAATATTTCAGCAAACAATGTGCAGCAGAATTTAGTAAACTAATTAGAACAGACATGTTTAGACTGAACATTTCACACGGCAGCAGGTGTTGCTGTTGATTTCAGAGAGAAATACTCCCTTGGCCTGCTCTGCTGTCTGCATTGCCCCTGATGCCAATGGAGGGAAGCCAGGTGTGTTCAGTTGCAAATTGACCCATGCATGTTTTTTTTTTTTTTTTTTTCTTTTTTCTTTTTTGTGGAACTGGGGATTGAACTCAGGCCCTTGAGCTTGCCAGGGAAGCGCTTATTTTACTAAGCCATCTCCCAGGCCCCTGCATTTTCGTATCATGTTCTCGGTTCTCAGCTTGAATCTTCAATTATTGCTGCAGAACAGCAATGACTACCGTGAGATTTTGAGTTTCTTAAAAGCTATTTTATTTGTTCAAATACTTTTTAGATTAGGATTTGGTGTAAGTATATTGTTACCGAATGACGCATTATATTTTATACATTTCATATTTTTACTGAAAAACAAGTGCCATGTCAACAAAGGTTTTCTAACAATTTAGTTCCCTGCTTAAAATAAAAGTTCCCAGACCTTATAAAATGTAATCCTGGGCTGGGGACATAGCTCAGGAGAATAAGCACTTGCCTGGCAAGCACAAAGGCCTGAGTTCAATCCCCAGTTCTGCCAAAGGAAAAAAAAATGTAATCTTGTACGTTTCTGACTACATCCTAGTGTTTTCACAGTTCTATTGCATTACCATTTTAAATGCATAAAATGTAGCCATATGCAAATGAGCCACACTCACTGATGCTCTTTTCTATTCTCCAAGTGAGTGTACTTATGACATCAAAACAGTAAAAACATGGAAATGTATGGAACACTTTTATAGGAAAAAGCTTATTTTGCGCTTTTATGAACATGCTTTTACACTGTCATGTGTTGCTCTTGTTGAAAATTGGGGGCCAGGGATATAGCTCAGTGGCTTTAGTGCCTGTCTGGCAAATGCAAGATCCTGAGTTCAATCCCTGGTACTGCAAAAACAAACAAAATGCTCTAAAGGGGACCATGGTTTGATCCCTAGCTCCACAAACCATACCATACCCGCACTTAGGGAAACAAAGAGGAGGTTTTTTTTTGTTTTGGTTTTTTTTTTTTGTACCAGGGATCAAACTCAGGACCTTGCTCTTGCCAGGCAAACAGTTATTCCACTGAGCTATCTCCCCAGACCTAGGGTTATGTTTAATAGAAATGGGGTTTCAGTTTGGGAAGATGAAATTATTTCTAGAGATGGATGGTGGTGATAATTGTACAGCAGCTTGAAGGAATATAATGTCATGGATATGAATAGATTGGATGATTCTGACAGGACTGATTGTGTTAATCATACAGAATGCAGCTAGAACTATCCAGCATCTCTCCCGTTAGAATTAGATGTGAGCATCTCATCCCCTGGATGTGATGGTTCTACACCTGAGGGGCAGAGGACTTATATTTTCATTTTGGAGATATAAATATATTCTAACAAAGCTTCAAGAAATACATGATTTTAAGACTTATTAAATGTAAGATTTTAAGAAGATTTTTAAAGTAAAGTCTTATTGTACAGTCAAAAATAATGATTCTGAGATTTTTAGCTCTGGAGACTGGATGTGGTTCTGGGTCCTTCTTGGACCTGTCAAGTTTACTGTAATGACGCAATAGCTGGATACATTTGGAGTTATTCTGTGAGCCAGAGGAGGTTGGGGGACATGGAAGGGAAAGAGAGGGGTTTAAGGTTGGATCTTAGAAGTTGGTGGGTGCAGATGGGCTAGGAGGAAGGTGGTCTCCACCTGGTTCCCGAGTTAGGGGGAGAAAGGGAATGAGTGGGGAAAGGAAAGCAGAGCTGAGGAGGCTGCATTTTGGAACTCTTCTTATTTTAGAGCCACGAGTGCTCATAAAAATCATTTTACCCAGTGAGTTAATATAGGTCCCTAAATCTTAGGGTCCCTAAGATTTCCTATATTCCTATAGGGTCCCTAAATCTTCCTATATCTGTCCCAGGTCTCTTTGCAGCTTGGAATTTCCCTATATCTTTCTGGGTCTTCACAGAGTTGGCTCTGCCATGCTCTTTTTTTTCTTTTCTTTTTTTTTTTTTTTTTTTT